GCACGAAGCTCATGTCCACCCAAATCTCAACTCCACACCATAGAGAATTTCCTCAAAGAGTATTCCCTGGTTGGAAGCAGGGCTCTTTTACCATTCCGCTCAGAGCGTGCCGATAGGAGGCGGCTTGAGATAGATACCCCCTTTGCACCTGCGGCTTGCAGATCTATAGTGTTATATACAGTCAAGTCGGAATGTAAATAATGTGTACCAATGTATAATAGGTCCTCAATCGGAAATCCCATTCGAGCCAACTCGCTCCAGCTCAGAGGACTGGGGATGGATCCACCACGATACGGGGTAGAGAGCACATGACCATGCATAGCACATAGTGAACGTGTAACACAAACGATAAGATCGACGACCGAGGCGTCTAGAAAGGGTGGCACAGACCGAGGCGTTGCACCTTGAGTGCCAATGAGTGGAATGAGTGGGAATGAAAGCACTGATAGCAGGGGGGAGCTGGCTGCTGGCGGAAATTGGGGACAGCGGCGCCCGGTGAGACACAAGCGGGACGTTTTGTGAACGGGTGTCTCTAGACCTATGGAACGCCTCCTCCAAAGACACACAATGGATACACACCACTCGCGCAAGCACTGTAAACCTTTTCATTGTTGATGCGCCACACCGACATTGTTGTTAAACAGAAGCAACGCGTTAAGTACTAAGCTAACGCGATTTCGGCGCCAACCCAAAGAACGTCGATTCATCTCCCGATTGATCTTTTGATCCGTGCATAGCGATACCAGTCCTGCGCAGCCTCCTCTTTTGTCTGAACGCGACCTGGAGGCATCCTCGAGGTCCACACAGACATGCTCAATGAGCGACACGGCCGCGCCGCCTTCAGTTCTCGACAGCAGCCCCGCCGCGACTGCCGTTGACTTGCCAGCGAAGACACCGCCGAACCCACCACCGACGACCACGACGTCGTCATCCTCGCCCAAACCCCTTCGGCACACGCCCGCCCACATTGAGAGCACCACCAAACTCGCGAGAAATGTCTCCCCGGGCCTGCTGGCACGCATGAAATTCCTCAACCAGATTGCCGACACCAACAACAAGAGCGCCGTCGACGTCGGCCGCATCGAGGAGGACCGCCTGCGCCGCCTGGACGAGTTCCGCAAAGCCCGCAGCCTCGAAGTCGAGCGCCGCGGCACTGCGTGGTCCGGAAAGGCTGGTCAGGCTCCCGCCGCTGGAGAGACGCCGCTCGTGCCCCAGTCGACCGGCGAGAGCGTGCCCACGCTGGTGATGGAGCCCGACTTTGACAGCGACCACAGCAGCGTCGTCAGCACCAGCGATAAAGTTCTCCCATCTGAGTCAGAAGCCGAAATAGAGCTCGACCTGCAAAAGTACCGCCTGCCCGACGTCACCAAGTCGGAAAAAGCACTCAGCGGCACCATTACCGCTGCTGAACCCGAACCCGCGCCCGCACCGCCCGCCGAACCAGCACCCACAGTCGCGCCTGCCAAACCAGAACCTGTCGCGCTTGCCGACCCTGAGCCCACCGCACCTGCCGAGCCAGAGCCCATGGCCGCGCCTACTCCCCCACCCAAAGACACGCCACCCCTACCCGCCCCCGTACCCGAAGAGGAGCCATCCGTCCTCGACGACAACAATGGCATCGACATCGCGTCCTACTTCGAGAAGCGCCACTACCCCCGCGCCAACTCCATCTACACCCTCTCCAAGGCCAGCTTCACCAACCAGATCCAGCAGCTGACTTCAATGAAGCTGCCGCCCACAACCATCGCCTCCGAAATCACCGCCCTCCCGACTTCCACCCAGGCCGGACGCGCACTCCACAAGGCAGCCAACGACATCCGCCTATGGATATCCAAGACGAAGGAGGTCCTCAGCGGCCTCGACGCCGACGATGACGTAGAGTGGGCCGCAGCTGCCGGAAGAGAAGGCCTGGAGGAGGTGGATGCCGCCATCGGCAAGTTTGAAGGGCTCGTCAACGTCTACATTAGCGCGATAGAAGACCTGCAGTCGCGTTCCGACATTGCGCTCCTGCCCACCAAAGACCAGACGACGCTTGTCAGCCAGATGGAGGACATCGTCATGAACTGGGGCGAGATCAAGCAGACGCTCAAGAACATCAAGAACCAGGTCGAAGTCGCCATGGAGTGGGAAGAGCTGTGGAACAACGTGCTTGGCGAAATCGGCGCCGAGGTCAGAAACCTTAGTCGTCTGATATTTGAGATGGAGGAGCGCAGACACCGCGTCATCTCCGACTCAGTCGCCGAAGCTCCAGAGAAGTTTGACATTTCCGAGCTCGAGACCGTCGTTGAGGTCATCCCCCGGAAACAGTCGATAATCAACAGCAAGCGGCTTAGTATGCCGCCCAGCCTGTCCATCGTCTCGCCCACCTCGCCCATCCCGCAAATCGAACAAGAAAACTCGCGACTGCTAGCCCTCTTCGCCAAGCTACAGCCACTGCGTGCTTCGCTCGACTTCCTCCCTATGCGACTCAGCGCCTTCCAGATGCGCGCGAGCACCATCTTTCCTTCCGCCTGTGACGAACTGGTACGGAGGAAGGAATCGCTAGAAGAGGAAGAGGCTAAGCTTGAAGCCGACGCAGACGCGCTGAGGCAAGAGTTGGGCGAAGACAAATGGGTGCACAGCTTCCGTCAAGCCCACAGCAAGGCTGCTGCCATGTACGACTCGTGCATGAAGAGCATCGAAAGACTGCAGCAGGCCATCGAAGACAGCGACGAGGAGAAACTAGCTACGCGCATCGCCACCTACAAAGACAAGCGAGATCACTACCCTCCGTCTATGAGGCGTGTGCTTGAGCTCATCGATATCGAGATGAAGCACAGGTCCACAGTCAACGGTGAGATCCTGCGTATTCAAAAAGACGTCCGCGCAAAGGTGGAGGACTTGGAAGACGTGACTGGAAACACAGACATCATCTTGAACGACTTCACTACATCGCGCAAGCTTCGTGACTCGGTCTCCACCGTACTGACAGAGGGCTCATTACCACAGTCAAGCCTTGACACACCAGGCACATCCCCTGCCTCAAGCGTCGTCATGAGCCGTAAGAGTAGTGGGCAGCGGCCTTCCATTACTCCGGTAAGCAAGAAGCCTCGTCAGTCCAGTGTTGCGAGCTTGAAATCGTCGGCCCCTCCCAACCGCCGATACTCCAGCATACCACTGGGTGCTGAGAGTGTCGCTTCTCGCAAATCTACACTCGAGCGTTCCGCACGTTTGGACTTTACACCTTCCCGCGCCATGGCTGGCACTGCAGCTAGTCAAGCACGCGCAAAGACGCCGACCGATAGGCCTGGGCCCAAGCCTCGTTGGAACTCGGACACGCACATGCGCGATACTGTCGTCGGGCACAACTTTAAGCCGTTGACTCTGACCACACCTTCGCCGTTCCGAAAAGACGAATCACCCGACGGATCGCGACTGGGCTCAGCAAGCCGTTCATCGATACCCCTCAGAAGCCCATTGAGTCGCTCCTCAGCTCTTTCGCCGACTGCATCCAGCCGTTCTCCATCAACTACTCCAGGGCAGCAGCGCTCTGCTCGATTGATGCCAAGCCCAATGAACTCCTCTCCCGTTACTCCTGCCAAGGGCAAGCTGCCGATACGATCAACGCCCCTGTCTTCCTCAAGTACAAGTACGCCAGCGTCTAGCCGTCGTGTCTCAACAGTAGTAGAAAGCGGCAAGAGCCCTGCCAAAGAAGAAAGTCCGGCGGCCCGTCGCGCATCACGCCCTCCGAGTGCCGCAGCCAGTCGTCGCAGCAGTCTGTTACCTACACCTAGACAGCGCACCTCATCCACTTCCGAGGCCACCAAGTCAACCCCACCTGCTAAGTCGACCCCTCCTGGACGCTCCAGCAGCAGGCTTGATAGCTTGGCCGAAAGTCGCACTTCAAGCCGTGTTAGTGGTCGCCAGTCAAGCGTAGGAGACAGACCAATTTGGAGATAGGCACTTGCAAATCGGACAATTCACCTCGACGGACCGGCGCAGACCTGATCGATACCTCTTGTTTCCAAACGAACGACAGCAACATCACGCAATCAACGTTAGCGAAACCTACTTATTCACCCCCAACTTTCACTTCGCGTCTGGATCCTGGCTTGGTCCTAACCCCCGTTCCCTAATATTGCCTTCTAGTACTAAGCATCTGCATTCTTTCGAAGAAGAATCTCTCTCTTTCCCCGCGATGTATCATCGAAATATCCATCTCACCTCTGGACCATTATATCCACACTTTTGATTTGTTGCTGTTTCCATCTGGCGTTTTAGCGGTTGGGAGAAAGTATCCTATACCCCGGAGTTTCACACATGTTTTTGGCTTTCTTTGAAGAAGCATTTCTGATTCACACATGGCTGAGCGAGCGAGCGTATTTGGCGAATGGAGTGCGTGTGAGCGTTGGCATGTTTTTGTGCGTGCTAGGCGCTTGCAGCATTATGGAGGGAGGGATCTTGAGAGCATGCGGGGAAGTATGCTTTTGTAGATAGGTGCTAGATTGGTATCCATGGGTGGGCTGGGGGTGGATGGTGGAGGTTGGGGGCAGCAGACTAATTCTATGTACGAGCGAGTGTATGTTAGATAGTTGAGCGAGATATAGAATGATACCATAGTAAACTGACGTCTCTTCCAGTATTGACTGTACCGCCGATGTGACTCACTGGTCGAGCATCAAGCACAGTCTTCAGTGCGATTGTCTCCCGATATTCAAGACATGCTCACGTGATTGGATAGCATCATTCGTCCTCGAACCAAAGACTTCACACCTGACCCATCACAAATACCAAGACAGCAACTCTGGGGTGTCTTACTGGTATCTTCCTTGGAGACATGGTTTTTGCAAGACATTGTACTCACTCAGCCCATATAAATTCCTACAAAGTATCAACCCTGTTGTTGCATAACCACCTACATCAATCTTCACATGAACACACCAGACCTAAACCCTTCACACCTAACCACATCCATTCCGATGACGCCCACGCACGAAGGGAAGTTCTTTCAACATAAGAACATGCAGAGTTGTTTAGCGGTAAACTGTCGGTTCTGCAAGTGGGAACGCGAACTCGATGGTATCCCAATAGAAGAGGTAGCCCCGCCTACCTCGACGATTGAGAAGATGCGTACAGACATGAGGGCGAGGGCAGCCGCGAGGAGAGCCAACGGAACAGAGCAGGAGCGGGACGGTACTGCATCTACATCCTGGGATCCCGACGATGCACGTTGGGATATGAATCCACTGGCGTCACCGTTGGTGAGTAGGAGTAGGAGGGATAGTATACATTCTTGCGAAGAAGATGGTATGGAGGATGGGGAGGGTGTGGAGGTGTACTACACTGAGCAGTCTGCATCCTCACGCGATGGCAAAATCGACAACAGCACTCCCGAAGACATCGAGATACAAGACAACGACACCAATCCACCAAGCCCCACTCCAAGCTCAGTCTACAGCACCGACAATCCCCTCGCCCTCGTCCACAGCCCTCTCTACACACAAAGCGAAAGCGACATATCCGACCTACCAGGCGATAGCACCTTCTCCAACTTTCTAGATGAAGTCCTTTTTGATCTTGACGCTTGGCTTGATGCTGGGGGTTTGGAGAAGGGCGGCCTGCACGACGATATGCCGGAGGAGGAGTATGCAGAGTACAAGGAATGGTACAAGGCGATTGGAGGAGGAGTTTCGAGGGGTATGGTTGAGCGGGGAGTTATGGGGGTGGAGAGGAGGAGGAGGTGGAGTGTTTGATGGCGATGGTGATGGCGATGGTGATGGCGATGGTGATGGAGATGGTGATGGAGATGGGATGGTGGATGTGGAGGGGGAGAAGGATTATGGTGATGTAGAGTGATATCACATGTTAGGTTTATCGCACGAATTGTTCTTTTGACTGATGAAAGTGAACATTCAATCTCCTTCCATCAATCCTTCGACCACATAATGCTTGAAGACTTACATATTCTGCAGACGGCCGACCTTGTAGATTACTGATCCTGCACAGCGGCCGTGGTGGCTGAGCTGAACCCGCTAAATACATGCAGGGGGTAGCCTTCACAAAGCCTCCGTCGGTACCAACCGCTGCCGTTGCATATCCTCCGCAATAGAGTCCCTGCGTAAATCTAAATAAACTTGGCAGTACACGGAACGGACTTGATGATGTTGTCATCCGGATCGGATGTCAGTTTGGACACCGACATCCGCCGGCGCCGCCCAATTGGAAAACGAGGATTGCAAAGCACCGAGCCTACGTACCTACTCAGACTGCTTTTGATGTCTTTTGTGATCGTACGTGGCAGCTAGCCATGCAGTATCATTGGTAAGCGACAGGGGTGGGTGGGGGAGGCGGAGGGAAGGCGGAGGGGAGGCGGAGGGGTGGAGGTGGAAGTCTGTCCCGAAACCGTAGTAGGAGTCTGGGCACTGATTGTTTTACTGCGTGCCCCTGCATGTAGTCATACACTTAACCGGGTTTGGCACATTGTATAGGTAAGGTTGGAAGCGGTATAGAGCTGTACCATGCTTCAAGTTCCAACTTGACGGCCTTGTCTGCTTGTCGGTGAGATGGAATCGGCCCTCTAGTGATTGAATGCTTACGATCATGGCTTCATTGTATCCGGCGATGGAAGAATGAAGAGCATATATAAAGCACCGTACACCACCTCGAAGCTTCATCAACATCGGATCCTCATCAGTGTCTTGCAATTACAATACATCTTTACTTACACTCGACAAACACTTTCTCACCAATCTTGAAATGGCACCCGAACAAGAGCCAAAAGGCTACCGATGGGACATTATCACAGCGGAAGAACTCAAATACGCTCCGCCGTACTTTCAAGATGTCCCAGAAACGACGACGGAGGTAGAGTGCAAGCTCAGCGGCACCTGGCCCAAATGGCTCCATGGCTCTTTCCTTCGGTACGTCACCCTCCACCCTTCACATCTCCCCTAAATCCCCAGCTAACATCAACTGCACCACAGGGTTGGCGTAGGCCGTTTCACAGTTCCCACATCCGAAGATGACTCCACACCCCGAGTCATCATCCAGCACCTCTTCGACGGCCTGGCCCTCCTCCACAAATTTCGCATGACCGACGGTCGCGTGTATTACATGAGTCGCTACACTTCCAACGGAATAACGCGCGCCGCGCAGCGAGACGGCTACGTCAAGAACTCCTGGGTGGGACCGAATCCCAACACGCCTCTTTTCGAAGCCCAGGATCCGTGTTCGAAATTACTTGGTGCGCGTGTAAGTCCGATTATCTAATTCTCCAGTCATGGTTATCTATGAGAAGTGATGGGCAGACTGACTCGTTTTCGGATGGATGTAGCAAACCGTTTTCCTACCTCATGATTCCATCGAACCAGATGCTCTTAATGTTCATGTTCAGCCGAGACGTGGTATGCATCTACCGGAGGATAAGAATCCGAATTCGAGGGGTGTCAAGGCGGAAGATCCGGCTACGCAGGAGGTAAGACAACCCCCATCTGCATTTCATGTCAAAAGAATCTGGCGAAGCTCACGCTGAGATATAGATCCTCGTTCACACGGACTGGAACTGCATGCAAATCTGCGATGCAAAGACGCTCGAGCCGAAGCGCTTACTCTCTCATGCGGTCATCGATCCCGAGCTCGCTGGAACAGGGTGCTGCGCTCATCCGGTTCATGATCGAAAGCGAGGAACGACGTACAACTACTTGATCGATGCAGCGGGTATTATGTACATTTTTGCGTTGGATGTGGTGGCGAATCCGGCGCGTCTGTTATGGAAGTCGGCGCTGCCGTGTAAGCCGTGCTACACGCATGCTCTTGCTATGACGGATAAGTATGTTGTGTTTGTCAGGAACGTAAGTAGTAGTTCCAACTGAACGGAGTGGCGGTATATGGATCGAAACTAACATGCCATCAGCCTGTCATATTGGATCTCAGTGATCCGAGCAAGACCCTCGTCGAGGCGATGGTATGCGAGCACGACTCCCCCGTGTACTTTTACGTCCTAGACAAGGCCGACGGCAAGGTGTAAGTCCTCTCTCTCCCTTCGTCTCTAAACACTCCTGAACTAACAATTCCTAGCATAGCATCCTACCAAGTCCCAAACTTCTACTTCTTCCACACAGCCAACGCCTACGACTACGTCGACCCCAAAACGGGGCACACGAACGTCCATGTCGACATCGCGAGCTACAAGGCAGAACACTACCCGTACCACGAATACGCCATCTCGAACGTCATCAACCCGCTCAAACCCTACCAGACAGGCCGCCTCGTCCGCTACGAACTCTCCGCCGTCAACACGCGCGACCCCGGCGTCGTCGTCCGCGGCACCGTCAAAGCCGCTATTCCAGACATGATGGCGGAACTCCCTCGCATCTCCAAAGCCGCATCCATGGACCCAAACTACCGCTTCGTCTACGGCGTATCCGGAAACGGCATTTCCGCCCCAGGCACAGATGTTCCCATCGGGCGTCTCGGTAACGGTGTCGATATGCCACATGCGTCTTTCTACGGCCACCTCTTCAAGTCTGATTGGCGGACTGGCACGTTCAAAGCGTGGGTACCGCAGAATGGCGAGAGTTGTCCTACGGAGCCAATTTTCATCCAGAGGCCTGGTGCGACGGAGGAGGATGATGGCATTGTGATTACGATTACGATTAATAAGGAGGGGACGAATAGTATTCTTGTGGGGCTTGATGGGAGGACGTTCGAGGAGGTGGCTAGGGCGGATATGCCACAGGTTTATGCGTTGGGGCCGCATGGATCGTTTGTTGAGGGAGACTTTGGAGTTGTGAGCCGTATGGGTCGGGAGGGAGAATGAGGTTGTTTGGTTGTTGGTATGCTCCCTCTCGAAGACTGCTATATCTTTCCGGGAGAGCTCATCATATGGTATGAAGTGCAGAACGGCAATGCGATTTTTGAAGATGTAGAGTCATTCCACTTTGGTCTCCTGCAGCCACCCATTGGGAGCAAACACCCCGTATTTGCGCACGCTCCTACAAATGCGAGGGGTCGCCTTCTTCGCCCCTAAAGAATTCATCAGTCTCTTTCAACCTCTCCTGTCTCATTATACGATATCAAAGTCACCTTCCAGACGTCTTTATCTAGCTTCTAGACTTCCTCCGCACCAGCAACCATGTCTGACGATAACCCTCGGGCCTCTCATGCCAACTGCTTGGATGATGAGCTGGCTGCTCTGACGCTGCAGCTTGAGGAGCTCGGTGTCTACTCCGGTTCTAGCAAAGGGAAGCATCCCGTGGATCAACCTCCGGACGTCGATGTTGCTTATGGCCAGTTTCAGGCCGAACTTCAAGCTCACAAGGACTTTCTTGCCGACCAAAAGCTCGCCCAGAGCATCGGAGCCGCTGTGCACTCCGATAGTGTCATCATTGGGGATCTTACCTTACAAGATGTTCAGGCTCATGCGGACCGCCGGTTTGCACTGGAGTTGAGCAACAATGATCCTGAGATCGAAGCCTCGCCGCCGTCTGTGCACGGAAATCTACAAGGCGAAGACCATGACTGGATGTCCACCGTCTCCGAACACATCGCTGCTACTTCGGTCGTTGAGTTCTCCGATGATGAGACAGAGGCCGGACCGTCCATGTCCTACTTGGAGCGCCAAGCCGACACCATCAAGAGATTATCGATGGAGTTCAAGTGCTGCACTTGTCTGGACCGAATTCCCCGCGCATCTATGGTCAAAGCGGAATGTGGAGATCGCTACTGTGTTGATTGCATCAAAGGTCTGTTCATGCGGTCAACGAAAGATGAGAGTCTGTATCCTCCTAGATGCTGCAAGCAACCTATCCCACTTGACCTAGTCGCCAAGCACATGGATCCAGAAGAACTGGCCACCTTCGAGCTGGCGATCGTGGAATATGCGACAAACGACAAGACCTACTGCAGCAACCACGACTGTAACGCCTTTGTTGTCCCCAACAATATCGAGCCCGGTACAAATCGCGCAGTCTGTCCGAAGTGCAGCACAGAAACCTGTTCTCTCTGCAAGGCAACTTTCCATGGAGCAACTGACTGCCCCGACGATCCGGCCCTTCACCAAACTCGGGAGTTGGCACGCGAGATGGGGTGGCAGACCTGTTACAATTGTGCCCGAGTGGTACAGCTGCGAAGCGGCTGTAATCATATGACGTAAGTTCTTGACGCTTCGTACGCGTAAGCTATGCTAATTTATCGAAGATGCCACTGCAAGGCCGAGTTCTGTTACGAGTGTGGCACACGCTGGAAGGAATGCGGTTGCCGTACAGCAGACCCCAATCGTATCGTAGAGCGTGCAGAAGAGATCGTGGACCGAGACGCTGAACCGAACATACTTCCTGATGTGTGGCGTCAGTATGTTAACAGGGTCGCCGCCGAGTTGCAGGACAATCATGAATGCGAGCATTCGCGGCGCTTCCAGCGCATCTTCCATGGCGCGCCCAGGGGAGGTTTCAGATGCGAGATGTGCGATGCACGCCATTACAAGTACATCTTGCAGTGCCGCCGCTGCTATGTCAACGTCTGCGAGGACTGCCGTCGCAACCGCATCTAAGCACGACCTTGAGTCGTTGTGGCCACTCCCATCAAACGTTACATCTCTGTTATTGGGGACGTATCTATTCCTCTGACGTCCGTCACTAAATGGACTTCCACTCATTAGATTAAAGCAACACAATTATGATCTTATCTGCCAATTAGCCTCGTGTTCCGCAAGATTTTCTTTGTTCTCGTATCCGCCAGGGAGCAAGCGAGCACTCATATCCGGGTAATTCGACGGTACCGTATAAGTTGAGACATGACTCTCTCTGTCAGGACATGCAAAAGACAACAGATTAGAAATCTCTCCCAATACATCCCTTCTCTTTCCGCAAGCGATGTTGCTACGTGCAGTCTTCAACCTCATAGTGTTCGGCGCATGCGTCGCTGGCCTCCACATAGGCAAAGAGATCCGGCAGACCGACTGCGACGAGCTCGGAAACTATCCTCCGTACACCGGGCCATGTGAAGTCGAAAGTAAGCGCATATATGAGTCTCCGGCTCTCCGACGTTGAAGGTGCGCGACGCGCTGACTGCAAGCAAGACTGCGGCGCAGGGCGACTCAATTGCTTGAAGCAGGTACCGCCATACACCAAATGCGCTGGTTATCCGACCGTGGGTGAGTACGCATTTTCATGACCGGCATTCGATAGCTGATGAGGATGTAGGTTGTCCCTTCATAGGATGCGCGTGTACAAGGTAGGAAGGCTGGGGATGACATCACCAACAGCGGGTTAGGCTAGAAATGGCTTAGTGCCAGGGCCTGTTCTTTCGTCCATCCTTCACAGGGGCGCGTCTTCTCTCTCTGTCTTTCGTGCTCGACCCTAAGGGGTCTCTGCCAAAACGCGGGACCTGACTCGCACATATAGAAGACCGCCATCCGGAAACTTGGTTCTTATCGATGCCCAGGCGAATATATTGCTTACACGATCTGAGAATGCGCGGCCAATCATTGAGCGAGCGCAAGCTGAACCCTCTTCCCCGCTGGTTGCCATTGTTCTTAGACTGCTGCCTGAATGAAACATAACAAGAGCGCATGATCTCGTCCTCTTTCTCAGTATTTCACCTATTTACGGGCCAGAAACATCATCCCCATACGAACAGTCTACCAACGAGCTAGCCTATTCGCTTGCGCTATCGAGTCCAACATGGCAACGAAAACCCCGTTTGTCCGAACGTATAATACATCAGCCGATTACAATGACGGAATCCACGTGGTATGCGTCACAGTATCGATTCATTCGTCACTGTCATCCTGACGAAAGCCACAGTTCCTGGAAACTATCGACGCAGGTCTTGACTGGGAGCCAGCGCGCACCATAGGCTTACGTCTCTGGTACAAAGCCTACGTTGATCTAACACCGGAAACATGCTACGTACTAGATGACGGCAACGGACGTGTGGTGGGTTATTGTATCGGCGCCGCTGATACAACGTCTTTCACACAACGCTGGCGCGACGTGTTCACTCCGACTATCGATCCGAAACTTGTGCCACCTCCGAATGTCCAGACCAATGATTCGCGGATGGAAAGAGAAGACGCTAGGCACTTCCGAAAGGCTGTGTATGAAGCAGACTGTAGTATGCTGTTGCCTTGGCCGCAGGTGTTGGAGCAATATTCGGCGCATCTGCATATCGATATTCTGCCTGAGTATCAGCGGAAGGGGTGGGGTTCTATGCTCATACAGCATTTCCTGGGTGCGGTTAAAACTTTGGGTGCGAAGGGGGCCCATCTTGACATGGTGCAGTCAAATACGAGCGCAAGAGCTTTCTACGAGAAAGTGGGATTTCAGGTTTGTCCGCATGTACTAGATGATGGAGCGAGTGGCCAGCCTGGTATCAACGGCATCGTGGTCACATTGGTCATCAGTCTATGAGCACTCCAAGTATCGTCAACTTTGTTACTTATCCTATTGTTCTTCGCATCAGGTTGAACTTCGTCGCATGAAAGATTGTGGGCTGTTTTACAGCTGTCTACAACGTGGCCGTAAAGTCACCGTCATGTCGAACTACCCATACCTCGCGTAGTCTTTCTTGCGCCTGTTGCTCGCACTAACCCTTCCAGCATGTTAAGAAATGTCAACGCAACACTTACGCAATGGTACTACTTAACTTTTCCGGAAGTCTTACGGAGACAATAGTCGTCTCTGACGAAGAGCTTCTCCTACGCTAAAAGTTGATTCAGTACAATTCAGCGCAGTCATGCAGACAAAATATGTTCAGATGCCAACGGATCCGCTGTTGTCAGCCACTGTGACAGACTCTTGCGAAATAGATATATAAACCCCTCCTCCATTCCTTACATCCGGGACCAAAAGGCAGACACCGACATCACAAAACCAAGATACCGCCCGCAATGCCTCATGCGACCCAACATCCAGCTCTTACGCCCGCCACACCTCCCACGAAAACATTGGTTGCGCCGAATGGTAAAATCCGATCTGATAGCTTTATGAGCGTTCACGAAAGGAAAGATCTGCAGCAAGCACATGCACTGAACCCACTAGACCCTTTTGAAGTTGACGGTACACCCGTGAACGAGTGCTCGACTGCAGCACCATCCGAACATGATCTCGAAGAGCTGAGATCAACACTCACTGAAGCCAGGAGAACCATGTATGCTGCTATGAAGAGGTACAGCGACCTACACTGGATCGGCGAGCTTCTGTACGAGCTCCCAAGTTCACCTCAGGTCTATGCCGTCTCGGAACCACCAGTCGAGGAATCAGCTCACCCAGCACAGGAGACTCTAGCGAAAGCGCCACCTCCTCGCGCCAAACCAGACCCTGTGCCTTACTCAGATTTCATCAAGTTTCTGGAAGACGGAGGCTTTACCTGGCTGCTAGAACACGTAGACAAACTCAACAGCATGGACGACTTCGCCGTCGCTCTCACTGCCAATCCCGAGCAAAAGCGCTGCAAGGTTGGGCGCCCAAGGGGTAAGATCTTGAAGAAAGAACAGACTGACGATCTTGACAAAAGGATATGCTGTATGCATAAAGGTGGTGAAGACTTTCGTCGGCAGGTTTTTGATCACGGGCGAGACCCATGGAAGTGCTGGCCACCAAATGCTCATGAGGACAAGGAAGTGGTTACGAAATGAAACAGATATAGCGTGGATATTGAGAGGTGTCAGATAGGAAGTATGTAAGAGATTCAAATGCAACAATGCTACCATTCACCCCAATATTCGCCTCTCCAGTGCATGCTATCTTAGCGTTGCGCTTCCGCGTCAAGCGCTGCGATATGCGCCCTTTGTTATGTTGAACAGGCAAAGACATCCCATTGAAGCTACCCAGGTACAGCTATCAACAAACGCGTGTCTACCGGTTCAGCTAACCACAACTTTCAACGCCCGGTGATTAACTTCTAACGCCTACCATCCCGCCACCTTTACTGCTTCTTCTCACGATTTGTCTTCCGGCGCTCGGCCCTCTCACGCACCGCCTGCACGCGCTCCTCTTCCGTCTGGAAAAACTCTTCAAAGAAGCCTCCAGATGCCCAGACACCAACGATGTTTGGCGACTCATACGTTTCGTCTTCTGTGGCAGAACCATGATCTTGAAGATGATCAGATTTACCGCCTTTTAAGATCACAGGACTGGAAGCCGACGAAGCGTTAGGAGTAGCTTCTGCGTTCCTATCGGAGGTCTCACTACCAGTCGCTAAGGAGACTCGGGTCACGTTGTCGCTGGAAGTGTTGGGTTGAGTGGCGGCGTAAGATGTGTTGGATGAAGAGGCGCTGCTTAAAAGTTTCTCATCAGGCTGGACTTGTCCATGCGATGTTTGTGGTGTTTCTTTGGGCATATTGGGTATCTATCTGAATTACGGTGGTGTTGTCTGTACGGCTAGTATGTTGAGATGTTAGTGTGCAATGCTTCTTGTGCTGGAAAGGATTGATAAGGGAAAATGAAAGAGAATAGAGTGGCATCTCTTATACGATGACCAAAACCCCACCTCAGACAGCCAACGGAATACAACAGCCACGAAACAACTCATGGGAGATGATACACCCGACTGTCTCAATTCTAAACGAAGAGATTAACAAACAAGCGGCGTGGCATACTTTGCTACAACACATGCCATTTCATGCCAAAGCCTCGAATCTCTGCTCTCTAAGCCCCTCAGATTATCACCAAACCCCTCTCTTCACATCCACCGTTCATCCAGTTCTATCGTGCATCACCAACTCCCCTCCTCCGATGTGCATGCCTGACCACAACACTCACACCCCTCCTCCTCATCTCATTCGCTACAATCTCCGCTGCCGCAACGCTTCGATGTGTACCCGCATGGCATGTAGTCTGTATCGATGCGATCTGGTTCCCAGCATTGAGATGATTCGCTATGGCGGTGATGGCTTTGTTACTATAGTGTCTCGGATCAGCCAACCGTCTGCTACCTAGAAACCTACGTTATTCCAAACAATGCGGTAATGGAGAGTATGAAAGGGTGAAGAGTGGGTAACTCACCTCTCCCCCATCGCCGTCCGACTGCCCAGTATAAACTGTTGCACTTGTGGACTTACGCCGGTATATCTTTCACATATCTCGCGGGGTGGGGCGCGCCATCTGTGGCAGTATATTGTGAGGAGAACTGGTATGCCGGGTGGTGTGTGTT